GGATGTAATGGAGCGACGGACGGCCGAAGGATAGAATGGATGAATGCATGGAATGAAATGGATGGATTGGATTGGATGGATGGATAAATGAACTGGATTGGCTGATGGAATGGTATAGATGGATGAATGGTTGGTGGATGGATGGATGTGATGGATGGATGGATTGGATGGTAGAGTGGATGGATGGATGGATGGAATGATGGATGGATGGATGGATGGATGGCATGGATGGATGGATGGATTGATGGATGGATGGATGGATGGATGGATAATGGACTGGATTGGATGGATGGATGATGGATGAAGGATGATGGGTGACCGGGATGATTTATGGATAGATGGCATAGATGGATTCATGGAGGAATGGATGGGTGGTGGTGTATAGATGGGTGGTTGGTTGGTGGTTTGCGGTGGGTGGTTGGAGGGTGTTGGATAGATGAAGTGGATAAGATGCAATTGCATCATGGACGGACGACGGACGGACGGACGAAACAGAATGGACTGGATGGATGGATGGATGGATGGACGGACGACGACGGACGACGGACTGACTGTTGATTGATTGATGGAATGGATGGATGGATTGGATGGATGGATGGATGGATGGATGGATGGATGGAACGGACTGGACGGGACGGACGAGCGAACGATGGATGGATAGATGGATGGATGGATGGATGGACGGACGGTCGGACGGCGAACGACGACGGACAGGACGGGACGGACGGACAGACGGACGACGGACGGACGGACGGACGAATGGATGGATGGATGATATGAATGAATGGATGGATGGATCTGGATGGATGGATGGATGGAAGAAGATGGATGGATGGAGGATGGGGATAGATGGATGGATGGATGGATGGAATGGATGGATGGATGGATGGGGATGGATGGATGGATGGATGGATGATGGATGGATGGATTGCATGGATGGATGGATGATGGATGGATGGATGCATGATGGATGGATGGATGGAGGATGGATGGATGGCATGGAATGAATGGATGGATGGATGGATGATGGATGGATGAGTGATGGACTGATGAATGATGGATGGATGGCATGGATGGATTTATTTGATGGATGGATGGTGGTGGGTGTATGGAATGGGGTTGGGTTAGGTTGGTTCAGGTGTGGGTTGGTGGTGTTTTGGATAGATGGATGGATGGATGGATGGATGGATTGGATGGTGTTTATGAAATGGAATGGATGGATGGATTGGATGGATGGATTGAATGATGGGTGGTGGTGATCGGATGGATGTCATGGCGGACGGACGGAGAAATGGATGGATGATGAATGAATGAATGAATGGATGGATGGATGGGATGGATGGATGAATGAAATGACATGGATGGATAGGATGAATGGATTTAGATGGATAGATGGATTGGATGGATGGATGGATGATGGATGGATGATGGATGGATGGATGGATGGAGGATCGGATGGATAGATGGATCGGATCGGATGGATGGATGGATGGATGGATGTATGATGGATGGATGGATGGATGATGGAAGGATGTGAGGATGATGGTGGAGGATGATGGATGGATGGATGGATGGAATGGAATTGGATGGATTGTGGATGGATGGATGGATTGCTGGATTGGATTATTGATGGACGTGGATTCGGGTGGGGTATGGAAGGGGTTCGTTAGGTGGTTATGGTGGGTGGGTTGGGTGGGTGTTTTGAGTTAGATCGGATGTGAGTATGAATTGCGATGGACTGGATGGATGGATTGGATGGATGAATGGATGGATGGGTGGACGGATGATTGTATGGATGGATGATGGTGGGTGGATGTGATGATAGATGGATGGATTAATTGGATTGGATGGATAGATGGATGGATGGAAGTGGAATGGATGGATGAGGATAGATGGATGGGTTGTGTGGATGAAATGGAAATGGATGGATGGAATGGATGAATGGATGATGATGGATTGGATGGATGGATGGATGGATGGATGGATGGATGGATGGATGGATGGATGGATGATGGATGGAGTGGTGATTTGATTGGATGGATGGATGGATGGATGGATGAATGGATGAATGGATGGAAGGGTGGATGGATAGATGGTTGGGTTGCTTGGTATATCAATGAATAAATAGATAAATCGTAACGCCGGTCTTAAATTTCAACATAACGAAATACGATGCTTATAGCTGACGAAAATTTCTGCTACCGCCGGTAAATTAAAAAAAAGCGTTAGTTATTGGATTACTATCATTCCGACAAGAGATGTTACGCAAAAGGTTTGAAAACTAATTAATATTTATGGGTGATTTATACCTGAGCTATTGTAGAAAGCATTATAATATGTTGCATCGTGTAGTCTTTGAATGCATAGCTATACATTTAGAAATTTCGTTCGTTAATTAAAATTAAATCTCGAGTAAATCGGAAAATTAATACATGTAGACAAATTAGGTCCACTTGTTAGCAAACGTAATTATCACTGATTCCTGTGAGTATGTGATGTTATAGGCTATAAAACAGCAAAAAAACAGTAAACGTCTGCCTGCATTTTTAAAATTCGCGAAAATGTATTATGGAAATGCTGCCAGAAAGCAAGTGTACGCATTTACGTCACGAAATTGGTCCTGACTGGTACCTTATCTCGACATGTATACAAAGATAATAGTGTAGAACCAAGGACCGGCAAATGGTATCCCGTAAGATCGGGAATCACGTGCCAGCGATGTTAACATATTTAAACAAACCTACTTTCAGATGTGACTAGGTGCACATATTTGTGAAAATAAAAATGCGTAAGTGTTCTAAGACATGTTAGCCTTATTTTATTTAGTCGTGTTACGCAAGAAATACCGAAAGGTTTCAGAACGGTAAAGAAAATAGGCGAATCGTTAGAAAAACGTGAAATTCTTGCGTTTTAACTACAACGGTTATGAAATATCAATCAATGGGAGAGTACGTCACAAGGTTATGTTAATCCATTATTTCGAAGAGATCGTGCTTTGCCCTAATGGCCCTGTCACACATTGACGATTTAGCCAGCGTATGCCGGACGTATCAAAATTTCTCTAAAACGCTGGCATACGCTGAACTATCGATGTTTTTTTCAATTTTGGGCGTATACATAGCGTATTCATAACGAGTTTTGGACGTATACTTAACGTATTAGTAACGTATATAGAACGTTTCGATAATTTATAGATAACTTATACCAACGAATGCTTAGCGTGTTGCCGGCGTTCACAACTTATGCCCAACGATAGTCTAACTTATGCATAGCGCGCGGCAGCGTATCGCCGACGATCACGTGTCGTAGCCTATAAAAAGGCTCCCGCTCGACGATTCAAATCATAACCGCACTAGAACAAGACATCGCAGTATAAACATCACCTTCGCAGTATCAACATTCAATACCATTTTTATATACCAATTCCCTTAAACGCTGCAATACGCCGATTATACGTTAGCCTGTTAAGTTAGAAACACTTTCCAGTAAGTTCTGATGTCGTCCGGGAACACGTCACAATACGTAATATGCGTTTGGAGACAAGTTACATCATAGGCTTCAAAGCACTTACTCATAAGTAGAAATAAGTTCGGGTACGCTAAGACATTATCTCGACAGCTATTTCGACTTATGAGTAACCTACAATTGTACTGGTTGAACGTGTTCAACGATCGCATAACTTAACGCTACAACTTATGGCCCGCGTATGCGGGACGTATGGGCATACGCTGGCATACGTCGGAAAATGTTGAGCATGCTCAAAATTTTTCGACGACCTCGCCGTACTACGACGTATATACCAGCGTGCTTCAGCGTGCTTCAGCGTGCTTCAGCGTGCTCTTAACTTATACAAAGCTTACTCATAACTTATTCGACGTACGCCAGCGTATTCACCAAATTTTTGATACGTCCGGCATACGCTGGCTAAATCGTCAATGTGTGACAGGGCCATTAGTTCGGCTGCGAAACCCGCACATCCCTGTAAGCATACATGACATTAACATAAACACGCACTGACGCGCACGCGATAATGCTCGTATTTATATTAACAGGTGTATTTATGATATAATGCCTGCAAACGGCGACTTGCATTGAAAATGACAAACTGACATTACCGCTCGAGGGTTTGCTGGCCGCATTAGGTATAACGCTCATCACGCCTGCTCGTAACGGCTCAGCATCTAGCAGAAACACACGCGCGCGCATCGTTTTCATTTGCCGTATCTGTATAGCGATTGCGCGTGCTTTTCGACGTAGGAAACCGGGAGCCCTCTTTAATATCTCGCATCTCCACGGTATAAAGCGAATACGCCGCTGCTCTAACCGCCATGCCAAGCCCTGCGGTAATGTGATACGAAGCCGGGAGTTTGTACACTACACACCCACTCCTCCTCCTCCTTGTCGTCGTCGTCGTCGTCGTCGGCGGCGGCGGCGGCGGAGGCATGCGCAGCGTACGTGCGCGAGCGGCGACATGAGAGAGCGCTCGCCGGCAGCGCGCGGTAAGACAATATAATAATCGCGCGCGCGCACGAGAGAGAGACAGATAGAGAGAGAGAGAGAGAGAGAGAGAGAGAGAGAGAGAGAGAGAGAGAGAGAGAGAGAGAGAGAGGGAGAGAGAGAGAGAGAGAGAGAGAGAATGACCGAGCTTGTTGCGTCGCACGCGCACACGTGTCGCGCCGACGTCGCCCGGCGCACCTGATGACGACGACGACGCGCCGAGTGCGCACAGATAGCGTCGGCACCGCGGCGAACGTGCATGTTCCGACGACTAGAGCTACATAGTCTAGTATAACGGCAGCCTGCACCGGCCGTCTTCTCAGCTCGGCGAAATTACGCAGGAGAAAGCCACGCTCGCGCTGTCAGCCGTCGTCGTCATCGTGGTGGTCGTCGTCGTCGTAGGAGGAAGAGAGTCAAAAAACATTTATCGTACGAATAAATATATGTGTAGTTCATATTCGCACATATATATTAATTTTATCCGTCGATATCTGCACACGGACATGACGTCGGCTCGGGATCGGTCGCAGTCGGTTTCTGTACGGCGAGTCACTCCGCGTATTATCATCAACAGCGTCATAGCCGAGGAAGGGTACAGACAGCGGGCATTAAGGTGCGTATGTTTACAGTGTTAGGACCAGCTTCGCGCAGAAGCGAGCATGCTTCGATCTAAGATAGAAGGTGGCCGCATGACATTCTATACGAGTGAGCACCCCGCGTTAGAGAATTTTTTCAGATGCGCTTCGCATTCGCTACGTTTTTAATATTAGTTTCTTTCGTATTTTCTAATGCGCGTCTCTTCATTTTTAAAATCGTTTTTTAATGATTGCTGTGCGCTTGGCGAATGGTGCGTCAAACTGGTGTTGTGGGTTTTAGGCTGGGTGGCGAAATCCGTTGTAGCATAAAACATAGGAGTATGTTCGAAAATGAGACGCTCAGAGAAACCACGCGAGGGAGACTCGCATGGTATGGTTTAGGTTTAAAGAATCTTTCTCACAAATGTCCAAGTTCCCGTCTCTAAAGCAAATTTGCGAATCTTTTTATTGCAATCCACACTTTGCTAATTGCTAAATCGCTTCTTCATCTATTGAGTATGCATTAAGCATATATACGTGCACGCGTACACGTACAAGCACACGCACACGCACGTAAACGCGCGCACATATACGCACGCACGCACTCACACGCACGCACGCTCTCACCTACACGCAGGCACGAACACAAGCACTCACACACACACACACACACACACACACACACACACACACACACACACACACACACACACACACACACGTGCGCACGCGGGCCGCGGAAATGAGTCCGTGATTATCTTACAGCGTGAAGCATCGCGCGCGAAAAATATCTAGGTGAAGCAATTATCAGCGGTGTATCGAATCGTGGCGCAGCAGCGTAGGTTACGGCGCAATCATTCATGCCGGTGACGTCAGCTCGTCAGCGCTAGCGTTAGGTGCTATTCGGTCATGCACGGGCTTCCATAGGCGAGTTCCTGCCTTTGCTGCTTACCATGCCTAGACTGCGCAGCGCTCCGCTGTGCCCAGAATCCGAGGCGTAGCGTCTGAGGTCAGGTATCCAGTCAATCAGGCCAATTAGCTGGCCGTAGAGCAGGAAGTTTAAATCGCATGTAGGTTCGTATAGGGTGGTTGGGTAACAATACACTCAATATAGAGCTATGCTGTCAGAGTCGCAGGATGAATAGCGAGTGCCACACGCATCATGGTTATATATATAAGTGTGTGTGTGTGTGTGTGTGTGTGTGTGTGTGTGTGTGTGTGTGTGTGTGTGTGTGTGTGTGTGTGTGTGTGTGTGTTGTGTGCTCATGTTATGACCTGTATGGATAACAATTCTGCGCTAGACTGAGATGATTAATAGCTGACGACTGTGGATGTTTTCAATGGTGTGAGCTAACTGGGGTTGTGTACTTTTAGACTTTTAGTACAATTAAATGCCGATTCATACCTTCCCGCCTAATCTGGAAAAATCGATATTATATTACACATGCTTCGGCGGGTATCAAAAAGTACAAGGTCCGCGCGGCTTGTTATAATGTAAAAATAATCGTTAGTATAGCCGCCGAGAAATGATACATATGTAATATGTTAATATGCAATATCATTCATTATCAAACCACAAAAATCTGTCATTAGGCCCTATGATGTTTTTCCAGCATCATGATATCATGAGTAAAACTGCTGTTCTGGTAATATCTCGCATAAATATTAAATCTTTTGGGTACCTACAACAAATACCCGACACCTTTTCAAAACAAGCTCATAAATGAACCGTTTCCCAAAGATTTTTCCGCAAAGGATCGCCCACATGCCATGCGTCCACACTTTGTGAAGCACAATGCAAGCAATGTTAGTCATGTGTCGGTGTAAATTTCACGGGATGAATGTAGGCGGTGTATCTAGCAACGAAATAGACATAATATGGAAAGCCATTACCGCCAAAACCTACCTATTTTAATCGCGCTTAAAATGTATTTTATGCGCGATTGAATTCCAGCCAATCAGAACAGTGGTTTTTAATTGCGCTTAAAATCGATTTTAAGCGCGATTAAAAACCACTGTTCTGATTGGCTAGAATTCAATCGCGCTTTAAAAACATTTTAAGCGCGATTAAAATAGGTAGGTTTTGGCGGTAGGAAGGTTAGGTTTCGGAAAAGGGCACGTCTGGCTCGCTTGCCATCCACGATAATAGGATTCCTCACAGCATATATATGTCAATGCTGGCTGCGACAGTAGTTATGTTAGATGTACGTTTATATAGGTGGGCAGATGTATGTATGTATGTATGTATGTATGTATGTATGTATGTATGTATGTATGTATGTATGTATGTATGTATGTATGTATGTATGTATGTATGTATAGTGTGTGTGTGTGTGTGTGTGTGTGTGTGTGTGTGTGTGTGTGTGTGCATACAGGTGCATCCGTGCGTACGTGAGTGAGTGCGTGAGTGCGTATATGTGAGTGCGTACGCGTGAGTGTGGGGACGTGCGTGCGTGCTTGCGTGTGTGCGTGTGTGCGCGGGTACGTGCGTGCGTGCTTGCGCGAGTGAACGGTGCCAATGAGACAGCAAGATAGAACAATTATTATATTCGAGATATATATAGTCGTCACACATTTGGCGATTTCTGCGGCTACTGGGAATGGAATAAGCGAAGTTCTTATTCGCCTTTAGACATACGCGTAACTATTATCTCCCCGAAGAATACCGCCGTTGGCGGGATATCGTTCTAGTCATCTAGTGCATTTTCTTTCGCTCGAGCGTTTTCGCAATAACACAGCAGTGATCAGCGGGGTCTCTGTAATTGTCTGAAATGAGCTAGATACATCAATGTCGCTTAACTGGTCACGAGCGGGCAAGTAGTTGAATGCAGCGTGATTAACAGCGTGTCTCACGTGGCGTGACATGATTGGAAGGACGCAAGAAGGTCCGTATGCTTCCGAATGGGCGAAAGGTGCGAATGATGCAGTCGCGCGTTTTCTTTCCCGAGAGACGGTTTGGCTCGCGCGTGTAAGATGTGTCGCGCTACTCATTTACGCTCTTAGTATCTCAGTCGCACTTGCTTACCTTGTCTGCCTGCATGCGATCTGTACCATTCCCACCATCATATTATGGTAATTCGTAAAAGACGAAGATGCATTTTCAGACATTCGGCCTTGGTCTCATATGAATATTGTTCTATAAAGTGGTTTATCACCCGCGTCGCTGTCTCGGTGACAAATATCCTACTGGTACGATATATAGGAATAAAACCATAATAATGTCCCGCGATGTGTCATCCGCAGGGACTCGACATACATTGCATTGCCGACAGTCACAGATTGTCTAATCTATGACAACGTAATGGCGAAAATGTTCGAGAAAATATACTACCTAGATGAGATGTCATTCATGCTGCTGTATGCGCATTTGCGAGTCTACGCGGGTGTTGCTGATGTGACATGAATTATTGCATAGTACTTTGCATTACTTAAGCGGTTCATGATTAGTAGGAGAGTCTCTTTCCTCATTCTCTCCCTCTCCCTCTCGTACACACACACTCGCTCCCCTCACCAGCGCACTCTCTCTCCCTCTTCCTCACACACACACACACACAATAGAATTATACCATCATAATTTCATATATAATCATATTTAAATCGCTGAAAACCCAAGATAACTCCTTATAAAAACTTTAATCCGATTTCAAGTCCTATTGCAGTGACGTTCAAACTACGTGCAGCTTCAATTTTGCATTAACTCCGCGACGTGGCTGTCTCGCAAGTTGTCCTCACAACGTTTCAAGGCCGGGATATTTAATATAACGCGTGTTTATATATAAATCTCAACAATCTCAAGCTCTCCTCTTTTATCTCTCTCTCTGTCTCTCTCTCTCTCTCTCTCTCTCTCTCTCTCTCTCTCTCTCTCTTTCTCTCCCTCTCCCTTGCTCTTTCCTTCTCTACCCTATCTCACATCTACATTTGCGGTTTCGTGTATGCATTTATACGAGTAGATATAGGCTCGTTACGATCTACAACACTTCGCGCTGCTCTGCATGTATATGAATGTAACGCTTAGTTATTACTTGACTTATCTTCTCGTGATCGCATATGGCTCCGCGTATAAGATCGCTACTAAATGCTTGCGTATAGGCATATACAAATAACGGAAGCCTGAGGTACGTATATAAACATACAAACGGCTTTAATAAAACATATAGTATACTATCGTAGCATCAACCAGTAAAGAAAGGTACGCGACATAACATACACTTACATATCTAACGGTGACATTGGTAGCTATCAGAGCAACAGTAAATGAACAGACACGTATATCTGGTGCAAAAGGGTAGTCTTTGTAATTTCATAAAATGCGCGTTAAGTACCCCTGCCGGGTTTATTGTCTTCATGGACTGTCGCCATTGGTCGCGCCAGCCCCATTGACCGCTGGTCACGCGTGTCAGATGACGCGCGCTCCCAGTTGCTGGTGAGGGTTGGTGGTCACGCCCCTTGACCCCAGGACCAATTACGTCTCTGGCCTATGTTTCTGCACGTACGAGTCTTAAGACAAAGGTCTTTGTTTTTATCATTCTGATTCATCCTTATTATTAATATTTCCGTATTACATGAAGACAATGATAAATTACTATTACGAGTCCACTCAACAAAGTCGCCGGAAGTGACAAACCTTTTGCTAACTTATGATTCCATGGTAACCAGCAAAAATGAATACGTTATTAATGGGGTCTATCGACGTTGCTTGGCATGGGAATACGATGGTCATGAGCAGCAATATGCAGCCCCTAGATATCTTCGGCTACGCTTTGTGATCGTGGAACACTTACTAAAACAATAAATTTCTCAGTTAAAGAAACCGCGAGCATGCCTCCGTGTGAAAGCTGGCACGCTGCGAGTACGAGAGGGAATAAGGTCGGGAAAGAAGGGCGAGTTGGGATATATATATAAATATATAAATATATATATATATATAAATATATATATATATATATAAATATATAATATATATATATGTGTGCGTGTGTGTGTGCGTGGCGTGCGTCCGCGCGTGCGTGCTGTGTGCGTGTTGTGTGTGTGTGTGCTG